CGATGTAGACCTCCATATTCCGACGTATCTGCCCTTTGAACATTTTATCCACCAACCGTTGGTAAATAGCTCATGCATTCTTCAATCCGAAAGGCATGACTACGTAGCAGTAAGTGCCCTTAGATGTCACAAAGCTAACCCTCTTATGGTCTTCCTCGGTGAGAGGTATCTGGTGGTACCCTTGAGAGGCGTCCATCATGCTCAGTAACTCACACCCAGCTATAGAGTCGATGAGCTTGTCAATATGTGGTAGGGGGTAGTGATCTTTAGGGCAGGCTTTGTTGAGGTCCCTGAAGTCTATGCACATCCTCTACTTTCCTTCTCCCTTCCTTACCATGACTGAATTGGACAATCACTCCGGGAACTGAATGTGTCGCACATGCCCTGCCTTTAACAACTTATCCACCTCTGCTTCAATAACCACATCAAGCTCGGCACCAGAGTGCCTCATCTTTTGCTTCACCGGTCTCATAGTTGGATCGATGTTCAACCTGTGCTCTGCTACCCTGGATCGATTCTTGTGAGGTCGTTGGCCGAAAAGGCAAAGACATCAACGAATTCCTTTAGTAGCGCAATCAATGCGCTTTGTATGTTGACCGCCAAATGCCGACCTACCTTTGTTATCTTCTCCAGATTTCTCTCTATCAACTCAAACTCCCATCAGTTTGTCCTGGGAGCTAATCACCAGCTCTTGCTTCTTCTCCTAGTGGGAGCACTCAGGCACGTCCTTCTTCCTCTTATGTTGTGCCTCGGTCGTTTTCAATGTGACCTCATAACACCGCCGAGATTGCAGCTAGTCTCCAGTTACTTCCCCAACCTCATCCCCTACAGGGAACTTGATCTTCATGCAATAAGTGGAAATGGCTGCCCCGGAATGAATTCAAGCTAGGCCGCCCCAGTACGATGTTGTAGGTCGAACTAGCATCCACGACCAGGAAGCAAACTGTCTTTACCTTTCTCAAAGGTGACCTTCCTAACGCCACAGTCAGACTAACTTCACCAACGGGGCGGACCTCACTGCCGCTGAAGCCATAGAGAATAGTGTGGACTGGCTCGACCTTCACGTCTAACTCCATCTGTTGTAAGCACTTCAGGAAAATGATGTCTGCCGAGCTCCCCGTGTCTATAAGCACCCTCTGCACATCATAACTGGCCACCTCCGCATTGATGACCAAAGCGTCATTATGTGGGACAACGAGCCCCTGCACATCATCAATTCCAAATTTCAGAGTGGTCGAGCTCCTCTGCACCTGCACCTCGGCCACCTCATTGGCAACACCCTTTCTTCGACAGGTCCTCTTCCTCTCCCTATGCGAATCTCCATCCGTAGGACCTCCCGCCATCATGTGTATTATGTCTTTCTTAACTGGTATGTCAGGTTGCTCATCAATCCTCCTCCGCTTGTCACCCGACTCGCGCCCTTCCCGACGATCATCCTGGCGCTCTTTGTCGTTGATCACGAACTCCTTTAAGTGAGCGACCCTAATGAGCCGCTCAATTTCATCCATCAACTCTCGGCAGAAATTGGTAGAGTGGCCATAATCACGGT